TTTTTTTTTTTTTTTTTTTGCTCTTTCTTTGGTTTTGTTATCAGGGCAATACTTGTTTCCAGGAATGAAGTTGGGAGTATTGCTTCCCTTCCAATTTCATTAAAGAGTTTGAGAAGTTGCAGCATTAGGTATTCTCTAAATTTCTTTTAGAATTCAGCAGTGAATCCATCAGGGCCAGAGGTTTCCTTTGGTTGTAGGTTTTTAATTACATCTTCAATTTCATTGACTGATATTGGTTTATTTATAATTTTTATATCTTTTTATTCAGCTTTGGTAATTCATGTGTATCTAAGAATCTGTCTACTTTTTTCTGTGGTTTGTGTCTTATTAGAACACAGGTCCTGGAAGTAGGTATTGTTGATCTTCAGGATTTCTACAGGATCTACGGTGATTTCTCACTTTTCATTCATAATAGCATGGACTTGTGTCTTTTCTTACCTTTTTGATAAAACTGGCTAACTGTTTGTCAATTTTATTTACTCTTTCAATGAACCAACTCTTCAATACATTGATTCTTTGTGTTGTTTCCTTAGTCTCCAGTGCATTAACTTCTGGTCTGATCTTAACAATGTCCTCCCTCATGAAATTTGGGCTCTTCTTTTTCTAGAAGCCTGAGGTAAACATTGAGTTGTTTATTCGAGTTCTTTCTATTTTTCTGATAATGGAATTCATCAATATAAATTTCCCTCATAGGACTTCTTTCATTGTGTCCCATAGGTTGGAGTATGTTGCATTGCTGTTATTGTTTAATTGCAGAAAGTGTCTAATTTCTTCTTTAATTTCTTCTGTGATCCATGGGCTGTTCAGGAGGATGTTATTTAATTTTCATGTGTTTATGAAGTTCTTATGGTTTCTTTTGCCACTGATTTAATTGTACTATGTATTCATTGTACTATGGTATTTTCATTGTACTATGGTCTGATAATATACATAATATTCAGTTTTCGCATTTACTTAAGCATATTCTATGAGCTAGTATGTGGTCTGTTTGGAGAACATCTCATATGTAACTGAGAAAAAAGTGTGTTCTTATGTGTTTTGAGAAGAGCAAGTTGAGCCCAAAGCTCATTATAAAGATCAGACCAGAATTTAACACAATGGAGACTAAGAAAACAATACAAAGAATCAATAAATTGAAGAGTTGATTCATTGAAAGATTAAATAAAATTGACAAACCCTTAGCCAGTCTTATCAAAAAAAGTAAAGAAATCCATGCAATTAGCAATGAAAAGGGAGAAATCACCATACACATCCTGCAGAAATCCAGATCATTGGGGTGGAACACTCTGTAGCCACCTACTAAGTCCATTTGTTCAAAAGTTTGGTTCAGTTCTGATATTTCTTTGTTAATTTTTTTTCCAGTTAATCTTTCTATTTGTGACAGTGGGATATTGAGTTTCCCTATTATAATTGTGAGTGCTTATTTGATTTTTCTTATGTATTAATATTTTTTATGTAGTCCAATGTACTGGTATTGACTGCATATATATAATTGTTACCTCTTCCTCTTGGATTGTTTCTGTTTTTCTTTTTTCTTTTGTATCAGGAATCAAACTCAGGATCACATGCTTATGCTGCTGAACTATATCCCTGGCCCTTCTTCTTGGATTGTACAGTAAGTATACCCTCAGAAAGTTGATTTTACCCTCAGGGAGAAAATTTAAAAGGGGTTGGGAAAACATACAGAAACAGACGAAGAGGAAGTGATCAGAAATGAGGCTGGAGGACAAAGATTATGAAAAAGATTATGAAAACTTTGGGAAACTAGTGAAAAAGATAGGAGGAAAAGAGAAAGGGAAGAAATAAAAATAAGAACAGAACAGAATAACAACAGCAAAACTAGAAACCATGTTAGAGCTCATAAAAAAAATGAGAAAAAATAAAAATAAAAGAAAAAAGAAGAAAATAAGAAAAAAATGTCCACTTCAAGGTGTATCTCTGCTGTCACTGGTAGATAAAGTGAGCAGACAGAGGCCAGCTCTGTATTGATTAACCCCAGCAAGCCAGTCATAGCTGCATGGTGGGGTAGAGGATAACTGCACCTTTAGTTCCAATGAAGTTCAGGCTGGTTTCTGGCTATGAAGCTGACACTTGGCTTTTCAACCTGCAGCACTCTGTGTACCTCCTGTTGGCTTGAACTGGGCTCCCTGACAACTTGAACTTGGCTCCTTAACTTACTGTATATTTGAACTCAGCAGCCTCACCCTGATACTAGTAGCTGCTAGACAGAGCCAAGCCAAGGCTGCTCTGAGTTCAAGCTTAGCTGGCCCCTCTCCAAAATGGCTACTGACCAGTTATCTTCTGCTGGGGATGTCTGAATCCAAATAACTCCCCAGCCACTGCAATCTGCTGTGTGCACTCCTCTGTTCCACGGGTGCATTTCACCATGGAGGCCTCTGATGTAGATGGTTGTCACCATGTGTCTGGAGCTTCTGACCACCCTTCCTATGCAGTGAATCAGGGCTCAAGGAAGAAGTGCTGCCTGCCACCTCCTCCTTCATTGAAGTATTTCTCTTTGCTCTCCCTGTGGGCTTCAGTTCTCATGTCAGATCCTTCCTGAGTCCTGGGGACCCCCTTTCCTCCTTCTTCTCTTCCTCATGTCGCTATATTCCAGCATCTGGACACCAAATCCTGGAGAGGCTCTTTTTTTGATGTTCAGTACTTTGCCATCTTCTCAGAAGTCCCTTTATTTTCATCCTTTTCATTTTCAAGGACATCACTAACAGTGTTCCTTTCCATGGCCCAGGCTGAAAAGATCAGTGTAGTCTGAGATAATTATCTTCCACACTTAGCCAAAATTTTGTAACTTCCACTTAAACAAATATCAGTAAAAACATTATACAGAGGACGCTATAGTAAGTGTCTTAGAAATAAATGTTTATAAATATTAAAAGCGAAACTTTGTTTCTGGTGAGTCTAATCATCTCCATGTGTTCAAGTTTACTGGTGCTTTCCCATCAGTGTGCTAAGTTTTAGTAATTTCAGTTAGGGAACTGCAGAGAGGGGCCGTATCAGAAGTCCTCAGGACTCCCTATTTGACACTATTCAACCACAATATATCCTTTTATACTATGCTTCCAAGGGCTGTAAGGATGAACTTTAAAAATGATTCAGTCAGAAGCCCTGTGAAACTCTATCTGGCTAGTCTGTTCGGTAGCTGCTCAGTCTTTTCACTTTTTAATGGGTGTCCCATTTCCCAACAAATCATAATAACTTTGTTTTTTTTATCATAATAACTTTGAATAAAGGATAATTTAAAAATGTGATCCAGACATATAATCTGTCTCTTATTACATTTCATAATTTATTATCAGGGCTGTAAGAAGGCATCCAATTCTGCACCTTGCTTAAACAGCCCTCACAGAAGCTCTGTTTAAGGCAGTGTTTGTGTGTGTGTGTGTGTGTGTGTGTGTGTGTGTGTGTATGTGTGTGTGTGTGACATAATCCAGAGAGGATTTTTAAAATAAAATGCACATGGAGCATGATCTCAGAGATCAAAGATAAATGAACTGAATGTAGAATTTTTATGGTAAAAAACGTTGTCTGTGGTAACATAGTCATTTTGTAGTGGAACTGGCTATATATCCAAGATTCTACAAAACCCATATTTAATATGAGCACTCAACTTTAGACACTGTATTAAGCCTTGGGAATAAACATACTAATAACATGTTGACCATGTCTTAGATAATTTCACAGTGTAGTGGGAAAGGAATGTGTACCAACAACCAACTCTAATAATCAAATGTTACAGTGACATGCAGAGTGCTCCATAAGACCATACGAAGAATAATTAGTACTCATGGAGGGACAAAACATCAGCAAAAAGGTGACATTTGAACTAGGTCTGAAAGAATTTAAGTGTGAAATAGGAGAAAAACATATGCACCTTAAATTTAGGATTAATTTTAGGATGTGTAAATTCTCAGTTCCATAATTAATTTAGATATTATTTTTCTAAAGTGTTTTTTTTTAAGAATCTAGATTCTGAATCTGTCTCTTCTAGTATTATGTTATGTCATGATCATTTTTATTTTTATTGCCACTTGTTATTACTTCTGCTTTAGTTTTGATTAACCAGAAATTCTCTGTGGCAATGGAGGTATATAAACATTTTAGCTCATTGACAATCCAAATTTTTGAAGAGTGTTTCTGCCTTTGCTCTAATGGTAATAAGATCAATGACAGTGTTGTTGCCTGGGAACTAGCTGCCCCCTTTGGTAGGCATCAGTTACACTGATGCACTCTTCCCCAGAAGACTGTAGTATCCTCGTCAGTTTACACATCTGAATGTTACTAGGAACTCCTTTGCATTTATTGAATTACAGAATTATTTTTCAGAGAAGCCTAAAGAGTTATTGTAGTGGATCGACAATCAGTGGTCAACTTACAACCCCCAGCTGAACTTAGTAAGTATGGTGCTAGGTGTGGGAGGCCCACCTGGGGACTGTTGCCAGCAGCATAGGGGGCAGATCTGGAGAAGATAAAAGGCTTTTGTGAACTAAAGAGGCTGCTGGGAGCTGAGAGAGGCTGTTGGGAACTGGTAGAAGCTGTAAGGAGCTGTTGGTTCTGTTGGAGGAGCTTGTCATGCTGGCTTTCCTGATGAACTCAGCTATTTTCATCCTTCAAGGAGCTCAGGACCTTATTGACACTGAGAATAGCTTCAGTTCACTTTAGGGGAGCCCTGGTCTTCACTCTGAGCATCACTTCCTGGCTCTGGAGGGGAAGAAGATGCACAGCTCAGGCTCCTAAAGAAGCTTGCTGCATTGAATTCCTTGATGGGAACTTGGCCTGATCATCAGAGGAGCTCGGGACCTCACTGTTGCCGAGGATGGCTGTGGTACCTTTTGGGGGAGCTCTGGTTCTTCTGAATATCACTTCCTGGCTCCAGTGCATATCCCTCAGCCTGATAGCACAGATCCTTCATCCCACTGGCAAAGACTTTCTAGATTCCACCACTGACCACTGGGCCTTCATAGTGCGAACCAGGCCTGCATAATATATTGTTATGGGCTCTGGGCCTCCAGTTGGATTCATGGGATGCATCGTTATGAGCTCTAGGTGTTTAGCTGGACTCATGTAGGACATTATTGTAGGATCCAGACCCTTGGCTGGATTTCTTGGTGTCAGTGTGTGGACAGATTTCCTGCACTCCTTTGTATACCATTCTTTGGCTGACTATTAAATAATCTTATAAAATATGTGTCCTATAATATACATTGTTTCGCCTTGCACAATAACCCCCAAACAAACACAGTTATTTTACTTAGGACTTCATAAGAGTAATGTAAAAACATCCTCAGAATGATTAAATATACACTAAAACTTGAAAGATATATCAATTATATTAAAAGTAACTATGAATACATGTTGTGTTAAAAAATGCAGTTCTTAGCATTCTTGAGGTTGGAGTCTCTGTTGAAACCTTTAAGCCTACATGGCCAATGAACACCTCTAAAGACGTTAACCAACTAGTGTTTGGCTTTCCTTCTTAATCAATAATTTAATACTTTACTTTCTTTTGAGTCTGGGTAGATTCATTTCTTAATAGTCACAGCACTGCCTTGTGTCAGAGATTTCAATACAGTTGTTCAATACTCTCCGTTGTCATCTGTAGGATGTTAACAGTGAGTTAGCATCATTTGTTCTTCAGCAATACTTATCTCAGAGATATGAAGAAAGATAGAACTAAGATTCTTTTTCTATAAACACTTGAACAGAACTTTTTATGACCTAAGAAATTCTTTTGACTATGAACCATCAGTTTCTTTCTTCCTCCAGTTCAAAAACTGCCAAGGTTAAGATTTTTCTTAAACACTTTGGATTTTCTATCATTATTCTAGTAAGATGAAGTCCCAAGTCCTCATCAGGGAGAGACTGAATATACAAGGTAAATGCTTGATGAACACATAGTGAGGCCATCACAGTGGGGTGAAATTTTCAAGGGGGTGAAGAGCTAATCACTGTTTCTTTCCTTCTTGTGATTTATCTTTCCCAACAGAGTGTTTCAATGGGTAAAGTCTTCTTTCTCAGGAGATGCTTCTGTGACAGAGGTCTGTTGCTTCCCAACAGTGTGTAAGGCAGTTTGGTTGGTTTTCAGGTCTGAATGGCTATTTGGAGGCAGAACAGGAGGCAAGGAAAAAGGATGAAGGGGAGGTGAACTAGCTGTGTATTAAACTTTAAGAAATATCTATAAAGGTGAAAAGGGTCTTTGGTGTTTATGACTTTTACCAAACTCACTGTGGTGGGAAAGGAGTCCTGACATGGAGTGCTGTACAAACAGTTGTGTAGGTAATGTCATACAGCTCAGCCATCTTTAGTGAAAACCCGCAGCAGGGTACAGATGCAGGGTAGAAACCAAACACTAATATCTTAGATAGGTCACTAACAAAGGAAGTATTTCAATAGATGGAATACAATTTAGCATAGATCTCTAAGAAGTGATTCTTTGTCAGCTTGTTTACATAAATTATTTCTCTCCCTCCACACTTGCTCCCTAATCATTTTATAGACAATATATTTTCTGTATTCATTAATAGTACTCTAAATATAGAGAATTATTTTTCAGGAC